TCAACGGACAGCCTCCAGGCGTTGACTCCCAGAGTCAACGGACCCCTCACGTTGACTCCCAGAGTCAACGGACAGCCCCCTGACGTTGACTCCCAGGGTCAACGGACAGTCACGTTGACTCCCCGAGTCAACGGATGCCCCCCCCACGTTGACTCCCAGAGTCAACAGACCCCCTCTCGTTGACTCCCCAAGTCAATGGACCCCCTGCCGTTGACTCCGAGAGTCAACGGCTACAAGGGCACCTCGACAAGTCGAGTCAACAGGAGAGCGCAAGTTTACCCTTGAAGTCGAGATCCCCAAGGGTGGTCAGGCGGAGTTTGCGAAAGCCAGCCGACCAAAAAGTAAGAAGGACTCGCGTGATCATGGTATGTTTTCCTATGCGTTCTGACATGCAGCACACCTAAACATCACTCCCTTGCTGTGTTCTACAGTGCCAGAGCCAACGCCTCCTAGCTTAGCATAGCATTGCGAATGCAATGACATTTGACACTCACAGCACACATATGTTATATCTGATCTAATTTTGTCGGCTTCGCCGATCCCGCAGCTGACAGCGCACTTGCACGCATCGCATGGAACATCTAAGCTTGAAGGGTCTAGCTTTGCTTCCTCTAAGATTCTCAGCGTTATCAACCAGTCTGGCAATTTGGCTCGAGACCCCTTCCCAACCTTGTCCAACGTCATACCGATGTCAGGAATGATCACATCGCACGTGCTAAAATCTCGCTCCCGAAGCAGATGGAAGATGAGCCTATGATGATGGTCTGTCCGAAGAGGGCGACCGCGCTTCCTGTCGACATTCTCCCACCTGACAAGAAGAATACACCAGCCTGAACAAGCCGCAGAACCAACGGTACTGTCGGCATCAAGGGCCCCTTCAGCACGCCAACGGACGAGACTGATGCCGTGCCTGGTAAGTGGCTTGCCACCACAACCTGACGCCTCATCTAAGGCGCGCAACACAGCCGCCCGCCCGCGCTCTCGCGCGTCTGCAATCTCTCCAGCGAGCGAGGCGGCCGTCTCCCCCTTTGAGGTTGCGACGGCGAGCGGATATGGCAACTCTGGCAGCGCGGCATCAGGTTCGCTGTCGCGCTCAGCCTCATGGGCGTCGACGGCGGCTGGCTCACCCGAGGGGTCCTCGTCAGGCAAGCTGGCAGCTCCGCCAAGATCGGGCTCAGCAATCCCAGACTCTTCCAATATACCATCCATCCACGGCTCCAGCATATCGTCTACGTCGTGCTCTGCAGGAATTTCAAAGACGCCACCAGCAGCGTCGCCATCTGGTTCGGCATGGCCTGAAAATCCTGCCTCTGCGTCAGCTGGGGGCACCGCAGCAGCCGCAGCGGGCTTCTTTGCGGCCGGCTTCGGTCGGTGGTGGTTTGCCTTGCGGCCGACAATGGTCCCAGCGCTCAGCGTGTTCCAGCGGACGGTATGGGCGGTGAGGACGACGCGCTTCAGCCGACGCGCATCGCCCACTGCATCAGCGGATCGCCTCATCTCGTTGGCGATGGCATCGCCAAGCCTGAAAGTTTCCAGCGGCAAAGGAATGGTCACCTCGGAGGGCACCAACTATACACCAACACCGATCCTGGCCCAGGATCACCCTGGGCCCAGGATCGGTGTATATGCCTTCTTGCGCAAGGCAGGAGGGCGTATACACCGATCCTGGGCCCAGGGTGATCCTGGCCAGGATCGGTGTTGGTGTATAGTTGGTGCCTTCCTATCACCATGTCGCCGACGATATCGCAGCAGACGCACCAGCAGGTAGAGTAATACGTGGTGCAAAGAATGAAAGGCCGCAGCGAGATCGTCTCCATCACTTTCGCAACAGTCCCCCGCTTGACATCAACAGTGTAGACGGTGCGAGCATCCAAAGAACACTCGCGCGCACATGCCGATTGGATCCCCCTCGCCTCCCTGCTCAACATATCGTTCACAGCTATGCCATGGTCCTGGTCCTGGTCGTGAGACTGCGGATGCGCCTCGCCGTCAAGCAAAGGCGGTGGGACTAGGTCGGAGTCGCCCTCTGGCACGTCCATGACGGGTAGCGCGCCGCCAAATCGATCCCCCACGCTGCCTAGGTCGTGAATGGCGTCCGTGTGGCACGCGAGGCAGTCTTGAACGCGCGGCGTTGCGCCGAGCTTCAGCGACAGCCTGTCGCTAGCCAACGGGAGATGTATGGATGGCGCCCTCTTGCAAATAACTTGGAGGACACTGTTGGCGCCCTCAACTCGCTGAGTGTCGGGTCTCCATTGCGACCTCGCCAAGGAAATAGCTGCGTGTAGTGCCGCGTCGCACTCGCCCGTCTCCGACATGTGTAGGAATTCGGACTCGTACTTGAGATACAGCTTGAGCGTCCAGTCGCAGATGGCGGTGCCCAACCTGTCCGCGCCATGCGCGCAGCGGTCTAATAATAATTTCGCCACGGCTTTCCTGCGATCACACGCCGCCGACGGCTCAGCATCCACGCACAACAGCAGAATGGACGGGAAGTCAGTCAGCCGAGATCTGATGCGCATGTCCCACTGGCACGCGCCAACGCAGACCAACGTGATAGCCAACGCCCTCGTGTCTGAAATGAGACAGGTCGGAACGCACGGCAACAGAGTTGCCCACTTGACCGCCCCAAGGTCGGATAACAACTCGCTGAATTGGTCTCGGAAATATTGTTCTTTGAAGCTGACAAGCTTTGACATGACAGTGGGGCCCATGTATGCTGATCCACTGCGAGACCGTTCATCGTCAATCTTCAAGTTCACAACCTTCGTCTCTTTCTGCACCCACAAGTGGAACTCCCGCAGTGGCGACTGCGCCATGCACGACACGCAAGCTTTGATGATGAACACGGGGTCCCCCAAGGCTGTAGTCGCAACATTCCTGAACTTCCTGGATGCATGTCTGTGTTCTTCCGCCTCTTCAGCCAAAATGCCAGTGCTCTCGCGCCCTCGCTTCTTGCCAGTCGACGGCGGGAACGCAACTCGAAATACAGAGTGCAACACCAGCCGCCCTTTGCTGATAATGTCCTCAATTGAGCTCAGCGACCCCCACCGTGTTTTCACAGCTCTCCCAGGCGTTATACCGCACACGTCATGCGCAACAGCCTCGTCGAAGTTGTCGGCGCACGTGTCCCAGATGAGCTTCCCGTTGCCTGGCATCCTCCAGGTATTCGCAATTGATGCCACTCTGGAGCAATATTTAGACTCGTCTGCTGACTCTCCCACCTGGAAGCGCTCGAGGACCATGTAGAAGAAACCCATGGCTAACGAATACTGGTGTAGCAGACAGAATTGGGAAATCACAGCGACAGCCAAGTTCAACCGAAGGTACTCAACAATCATCTTGATTGCCTTAATGTTGTCACCAGCGCTGTCCAACATAAACAAGAAAGTCCTGAAACCACGCGGCCTGTCTGATGTCCACGACGGACAACCCACAGATTGAAATTGCTTGTCCATGAGCCCGTACACTTCGTGAGCTGTCCCACTCTTGACTGGTTGGACATCGGCGCACGAGTTGGACACTGTCGAATTGCCAAACTCATCAAGGGTCGCTGACCATACGAAGCCAACGTGAACCTTCTCTTTCTGGATTGCCTCCTCGTTCGTTGCATCGCCCATGTATGCGTGAACTTCAAGCCCAGGCTGCACGGCGTCCACATCCTTGGCTTGCTGATAGAAGTGCTTTGACACCATCCGCTGGATCGAACAAGCCAGGTGCTCGAACTTCACAACGACATCCTTGGAGCGCAGGCCGCCCCTTTCGGGGTCGCTGCCCAGAACGGCAACGATGCCAGCGCAAGAGATATGACCGCCTTGATTCCTCTTCAGTGCCATGGTGTAGCCTCCACGCACAGAAACAAGCCGCTTACCATTCCTGAAAGAAAGCATTGCCCTCAAGCGATCGATCTCATCGTCTTTCTCGTGCAGCGCCAACTGCAGACTATCACACCTTTGTGTGAGGACGCGGACAGTCCTTGCCAACTTAGCTTTGCCAGCTCGCAGCCGAGACATCGTAGTATCTTGGGCCACCAGCTGATCACGCAGCTCTTCTTTGGGTACGTCGTCCTGCATAAAGCCGTCGTACCTCGAAATCGCAGGGCTGACGTCAGCGTCAGCGGGCGAGCCCGCATGAATGGAAACCAGCGCGCATGACGAGGACGATCGACGAGCTGGCAATGACAACAGATGTGCTTCCTGGTCGCTCGTCAGAGTAATCGAACACACCGCCTGCAACGCTGCTGGTAAGAACTGAAGTGAAATAGTTGAGCCCCGAGGAGCCGTGAAACACCGCAAGCGCTTTTGGAATGTTACCACTGGCAACCCTTCTGGCGTGTCTTCCCCCAGCAGCATGCGAGCGAACGAAGCCACGTCCGCTGACTTGAAAACCCCATCAGCCAGCTGAGTACGAACGAAATTGGCGATCTGCCGAAACTGGATTGGCGAAGCGGCAGGCATCTGAAACGACTTTGGCCAAAATGGCTACGGATCGTGTTTGTTCGGTTGTGTTTGTTGCTGTATTTCATGTTGCACGGTCGCATCGCCTTGCATAGCGCAGCACAGACAGCATAGCATCGTCGTACTTTGAGCGCAACTTGTTTTACCATACTCCAGACTGCCTAATAAGCATGGGGTGGTGAATCGCGCGTGGGGGGTAGGATTGAGCTGTCCTTCGGGGGACGTTGGCGCGCGGAGGTGCCAGGAGAGGGCGTCGGACAGGCGGGCACGGGAGGGGGGTGCTTATCAAGAAACATACATGCAGCAATCCAGCCGCACTCTATGTATAGCACAGCATCGCAAAGCGTAGCACAGCCCGTCTGGCATTGTTTGTTGTGGGCCCCATCGAAGCCACATTCGAAATCCTATGGTGGAGCTCCCCCGCTCGAGACCACACTAGAGGACTCCTGGTTCTGGCCTGGCTCATCCTTCTCATCCTCCTTCGTTCTCCCTCTTTCTTCCCACGCTCCTTCACATTCTCCTTCTTCCTTCCTCCGTCCTTCGCTCGGCGTTCGAGGGAATGACTGAGTGAGAGAAGAATGGCACCGACTTGCATTTCCATGCTGGAAGACATGTGGAACCTAGCCGAAATCCTGGCAGCCTCGCGAACACGAGAAGTTACCCTCTCTGGCAGGCGACGGCGCTCACTACGTAAGTTGAGAAACAACTCTAAAAACTATAAACTCGAAGGCCGCGAGACTCTGAGACCGTGGCGAGACTACTGGAGCAGATCAGTGCCCTTCGGGGCTGGCGACGATCACAGTATTGTTGTCAATCGTGTCAATGACAGTGTCAATCGAATAGATCCTCGGACTCGGGATGCGGCACAAACGGTTCGACTTGATCTTGGCCTTGGCCTTTGCGAGCTGGTCTGTCTTGCGCTTGAGCTGCTTACGGAGCGAACGGATCACTGCGTTCCGTTCCTTGATCCTCGCGATGAGCTCCTCACGAGTGCGGGCGCGCGGCATGCCCAACTGAAACTGGCGAGTGCCAATATCAAGACGGGCAGCAGCACCTACGAACCACAAACAGCTTCGGGCGTAACGACGACGACGGCCCTGGCAATGCCGACGAAGGTCGTGGCAGTCCCTTGATACTAGGGGGTTGGGGGCGTGTACTGGTGCTGTTGCTGTTGGTGGTAGTAGCGCCCTTCTCATCCTCCTGTTCCTCCTCCTCCCCCTCCTTTTCGGCAGCGGCGGCAATTACCATGTACGCATTGGGAGGTTGCGGTGATGACGGCGGCGGCGGCTGCGATGGCGACGAAGAAGGCCACAGGGCCTCCTTCGCGAGGCATAGGGGTCAACGCTGGCAGCCCCACAAGGGCTCAGAGTCAACATTGAAAGTCGTAGGCCCCCCTGGGTTCGCAGCCTACCCAGACTAGGGGCGCCAACGCTACTGGATGGATGTTCGAGGACATGTCATCCATCGCATGCGGAGGGTGACAGTCGGGGCTATATTTCAACAACGCCCATAGTATTGTTGAGTAGTAGTGATGGAAACCTAACAGGATAGAACCGATTGGCAAACAGCGTGGGTCCTAAACTGAGCGTTACTGGACTGTGGAGGTGAAAGCTATGCAGTGTAAGCTATGTGGTGTGAGCGGGTGGTGTGAAAATTGTGCGGTGTATGTTCTGTGTTGTCAGCCATGTTGTGTAAGTTTGGCGGTGCAGACCAGAAGCGAAAACGATGGGGCGAAAGCTACATGATGTAAACTAAGTTGTGGAATTAACTTCTGTTCGCAGTGAGTTGTCCACTCCACTGCTCGCGCAAACATCCCACCCACCCACCCGCAACTTGGTTTGCAAAATCTCTTGAGACCGTGACGGTGGGTACCACATGGCACTTGGCAACAACAGCGACGCCGACGACGGCAGCGACAACGACGATGACGGCGCCGCCGACAACGACTAGGACGACACCGACGACGACTCCAACAACGACTTCGACGACGCCGACAACGACGACGACGACGACGACGACGACGACGACACCGACGACGACGACGACGCCGACGCCGACGACGACGACGATGACAACGACGACGACGATGACGACGCCGACGACGACGATAACGACGACCGACGACGACGACGACGTCAACGACGCCGACGACGACGACGACGACGACGACGGCGGCGACGACGACGACGCCGACGACGACGACGACGAAGACGACAACGACGCCGACGCCGACGACGACGACGAAGCCGACGACGACGTCGCCAACGAAGACAACGAGGAAGGAGGGAGGACGACGACGGCGACAACGACGACAACGACGAGGGAGGAGGGAGGACGGCGACGACGCGAACGACGAAGAAGGAGGAAGGACGGCGACGCCGACGACGGCAACAACGAGGGCGGAGGGAAGACGACGACGACGACGAACGACAACGACGACGACGACGACGACGGCGACGAAATAGGAGGGACGACGACGAGACGCCGACGACGGACGACGACGACGACGAGGGAGGAGGTGGAAGGACCACCACGGCGACAACGACGACGGAAACGACCACGACGCCAAAGAGGACGACGACGACGAACACGAGGAAAGACAGAAGACGACGTAGGCGACGACGACGACGACGACAACGACGCGGGAGGAGGGAGAACGGCGACGACGACGACGACGACGACGACGCCAGAGCGCGCGCGCGCGCTTTTGTTGAAAATCCGTTTTGCGAAATCTTGTGTTTTTGTGGGTGCTTGGACACACGATTTTGAAATCCGTCCGAAATCCATGGGTTTTGAAGGTTTTCGGCATACGCGCGCGACGGCGCGCGCGTCTGCACTTCGTCCCGTTTGTTGCAGGGGACTCTCGCGACGGCACACGCGCAAGGGCGTTCGACAGATTTCGACATGAGCGCGCGCGAAGCCCGTTTGGTAGCGTTTTGTGAAAATCTTGAAACCTATGGTTCTCTTAAAATTTCGCAATAACTTTCGCGGAAGCTTTTTTAGCAATTCTGTGTTGCGAAACCTTGTGCACTTGGCAGCAGCAGCGACGCCGACGACGGCAGCGACAACGACGATGACGACGCCGCCGACAACGACTAGGACGACACCGACGACGTCTCCAACGACTTCGACGACGCCGACAACGACGACGACGACGACACCGACGACGACGACGACGACGACGACGATGACAACGACGACGACGACGATGACGACGCCGACGACGACGATAACGACGACTCCGACGACGACGACGACGACGTCAACGACGCCGACGACGACGACGACGACGATGGCGGCGACGACGACGACGCCGACGTCGACGACGACGAAGACGACAACGACGCCGACGACGACGACGACGACGACGACGACGTCGCCAACGAAGACAACGAGGGAGGAGGGAGGACGACGACGGCGACAACGACGACAACGACGAGGGAGGAGGGAGGACGGCGACGACGCGAACGACGAAGAAGGAGGAAGGACGGCAACGCCGACGACGGCAACAACGAGGGCGGAGGGAAGACGACGACGACGACAACGACGACGACGACGACGACGGCGACGAAATAGGAGGAACGACGACGAGACGCCGACGACGGACGACGACGACGACGAGGGAGGAGGTGGAAGGACCACCACGGCGACAACGACGACGGAAACGACCACGACGCCAAAGAGGACGACGACGACGAACACGAGGAAAGACAGAAGACGACGTAGGCGACGACGACGACGACGACAACGACGCGGGAGGAGGGAGGACGGCGACGACGACGACGACGACGCCAGAGCACGCGCGCAAGCTTTTGTTGAAAATCCGTGTTGCGAAACCTTGTGTTTTTGTAGATTTTCTTCGGACACACGATTTTGAACTCCTTCCGAAACCGATGGGTTTTGAAGGTTTTCGGCATACGCGCGCGACGACGCGCGCGTCTGCACTTCGTCCCGTTTTTTGCACGGGATTCTCGCGACGGCACACGCGCAAGGGCGTTCGACAGATTTCGACATGAGCGCGCGCGAAGCCCGTTTGGTAGCATTTTGTGAAAATCTTGAAACCTATGGTTTTCTTAAGATTTCGCAAGAGCTTTCGCGAAAGTTGTTTTAGCAACTCTGTGTTGCGAAACCCTGTGTTTTTGTATGTTTTTTGGAAACTCGATTGCGAAATCCCTCCCGCACCGAAGGTTTTTGAAGGATTTCGGCATGCGCGCGCGACGACGCGCGCGAGTGCATTTCGTCTCATGGTTTGCAAGGGCTTCGCGAAAAAGTGCTATGTTAGAACAAAAAATGTCACCGCATAGTGTTTTTTTAACAAGGGACCCTCAGGGGGGGGGAGCCGGCCTAGCTGGGATGGTACGAATTCATATTTAGGATGGACGAGTGTGCAGAATATATATATATATATATATATATATATATATATATGTGAAATTATATTATCCCAGGGGGAAGCGTTAGAAAGGAGAATACATGCGGTGTAAGCGACGTGATGCAAGCGGCGGCATGGCGGCAACGGGCGGCAGTGTGACAATCTTTCGGGACACCCACTCAGCGCACGAGGCGGCAACGGGCGCCAGCATGGCGAAGCCTCGGCAGACCTCCTAAGCGCGGTGGGCGGCAACAAGGCGGCAATGGGCAGCAACCCCCCAAACGCGGTGGGCGGCAACGAGGCGGCAATTGTCGGCAGCGTAGCGAAACCTCGGCGGAACCCCCAAGCGCGGTGGGCCGCAACGAGGCGGCAACGAGCGGCAACGAGCGGCAACGTGGCCAAACCTCGGCGGATTCCCCCCCCCCCAAACAAAAAAAAAAAAAAAAAAAAACGGTGGGCGGCAACGCGGCGGCAATGGGCGTCAATGTGACGAAATTTCGGCGGACCCCCCAAGCGCGGTGGGCGGCAACGATGAGGCAACAGGCGGCAACGCGGCGAAGCTTCTGCGGGCCCATCCAATTCCGTAGTGGCACAAGGAGGAACGTCCAAGTGCAAGTATTCCTTTTTGGAAAATCACACGAACAAGAACGCACATCCCTCAAAGCAATTACCGCCAGCAAACCAATCATTTTTCATTTCGGCAACGAGTTTGGCTGTGAGCGCCCAGCAGGAAGTGTTGTGTTCTATTATAGACCACGGGTATCCATATACAGACTTGGTTATGTAAGGGCCCTGTCTCTGACAGCCCTTGTCAAGCAGCTTTCGTCATGTGGCGGGGAGCAGTTGGCTTGACGGCAGCTCGATGTCTCAGTTCCTACTGTTCGACCTGTGCACAGGCAGATACACTTGGCAATACGAGTGGTAACCGTGTCACGAGAAGGTGTCGAAAAGAAAACAAAGGGTACGAACGATAAGAATAGCAGGGAAGCAATGACAATAAGGCTCAAAGGTCAAAGGCGAAAGATTATGTGGTTTGCAGCTGGTACGTGTAAACGTCCGGGCGCTGAGCAATTATCACGATTGGCGTGTTAAGCTACATTGCTTCGGGGTACGGGGCTTTCGCGCGCCGACGGGTCAAGAAGGGCCGCGCAAAGATGATTGTCGGGAGTTCCCGTCGCGATGTGCATCCTATTCTTTGTGATGTTCAACACATCGAACATCGTTGGTTGAACGAGCCTTATGGTTCATAATCGATCAAATTTGCATTGCGGCTTGAAGTGGACATGGTTGGTTGGATCGCAATCGTTGTCGTTCGTTGTGTCAGATTGGATCGTTGGAGTGCTTTCGCAATCGGATAGATATCCGAAGACATGGTATCTATCGCATGGGGAAGGTCACGGGTGATGGCGTTGTTCTATTTCAGCAACGCCCATGGTAGTGTTGAGCTGTAGGAGAATCCAATGATAATTTCCAGAGCCGAATAATAACCGTGCATATAATTAGCAAGAAACAATTGGTCCTAACGAAAATCCTACGGGTACTAGTTGGCAGTCGGGGCGGAGCCGCGGCAACACCATGGAGAAGCGATTTCCGCAAAAACAACAGAATCGCCCTCCTCCCCCATACGTATGCTCCTCATCCTTTTTTCGTCGTCCTCCTCCTCATTATCATCCACCCGCTTGCTATCCTCC